CCCCCGGTCGGAATCTACTATCCAAGTTTCGTGTTGCCATCATCGCCAGCCGGCCAGCAGGCGCGGCAGCAGGCGCGGCAGCAGGCGCGGCGGCAGCAGCAGCGGCAGAGGCGGCAGCAGCAGCGGCGGCAGCAGCAGCGGCAGAGGCGGCAGCAGGCGCGGCAGCAGCAGCAGCGGCAGAGGCGGCAGCAGCAGCAGCAGCAGCAGCGGCGGCAGAGGCGGCAGCGGCAGCGGCAGCGGCAGCAGCAGCAGCGGCGCCACCGCCTCCCAAGGGCACGGTCACGCCCACCGCCCCGCCGCGCCGCCACCCACCCTCAGCAGCGGCAGCAGCAGCAGCAGCACCACCACCACCATGACACATCCCGCAGGGCACTGCAGCAGTACAGGGGCACTACAGCAAGCACCCACCTCCACCACGATGTCGTCAGGCCCCACCGCGGACGCGGGGAACTCTGTGCCGCCGGTGAGCAGCTCCGGCTCAAACGTCTCCCGCAGCAGCCAGGCCAGGGTCTCGGCCTCGGCGGGCGTGAGGGGGGCGGTGAGGGCGATGTTGTAGCACTGGCGGGGGGTGCGGGAGGGGGGGCTGTGTTGGTGTGTGTGTGTGCACGCGGGTGTGCGTGTGCGTGCATATGTCTGCGTGTGTGTGCCCTGTGCGTGTGTGCAAGGGTGCAGTAAGGGCGTCCAATAGGCGTGGGAGCGGGCGGGGCCTCACCAGCTCTCCATCAATTGCAGTGATGCTTGGAGAGGCCTTGTCCTGGGCCTGCGGCGGGGAGGAAAGAAGAAGGAAGAAAGCACGGGCAGGGGCCGTCAACGCATCGACGCACTGCACCTGGCCACGCGGAGCCGCCGCCGCACCCCGCCGCCAGCCGGGCGCCAGCTGGGCGGCGCCACACCTTGCGCAGCAACGTCTTGGCCTTGGACTGGGTGAGGCCCGGGTAGCGGTACAGCTGTACAATGCCCGCCCCCGCCTGCTGCAGCTTCTGCTGGGGCGCCGCGGGGGCCGTGGGGCGCTGCGGGGGCGGCAAGGAAGGGGGCAGGGCATGCCAGGGCAGGGGGCAGGCAGGACGGGGTGTGGATGTGTGGGGCGGGGGGGGGCAGGCTGGCTGGGCTGGCTGGCTCGGCGGCGGGCCAGGCTGTCAAAGGTAGCGATGGCACAGGTGCAGCTTCCAGCGAGGCGGGGAGCTGTGCCTGAGCCTGCTGCACACGACGATCAAACAAACAACACGCGGCGCTGGGCGTACCGCGGGCGTTTGGATCGCCTGCACCGCCGCGCCGCGCGCCTGCCGCCGCCCGCCCACCATCCGCTGCTGTCCTGCAGCGTTGCAGGCGCACCGGCCGGCAGCAGTGAGGCAGGCGATAGACGCTGCCTGTGCAGCAGCAGGCTGGCACGCGGCAGCCTCCAGCGCAAGATGTGGTGGCCATTGCAAGGACCGGCGGCGGCGGCGGCGGCGGCATGGGGTGATCGCCGGTGGCAGACCTGTCAGCAGGGAGGCCCCCTTCGCCTCAAACACTCCATGGCGCTTGGACAGCCGCAGGGCAGCGCCAGGCCTGCAGAAACGTGCATGCATTGCAGCACGTTGCACGTGTGTCGGGAGACGGGTCCCAAAGCGTCGCGCCATTGATCAATCCACAGCCACTCTGCCGGACTACCTCGTGGCTGTGCCCCGGCACGCCAAGGCGCCGGTGCAGCCGGCAAGGGCTATGCTGGCCATCACCGCCGGTAGGCGTGGGGAGCACTTGGCAGGATGCCGCCTCGGAGGAGGTGGCGGGGGAATAAGGCTTGGGCCTCTGCTGCCCAACATGAGGGATGCCTCGCTGGCAAATTTCGGACAGCTGGACAATTCAAGCTGGGAGCGATCGTAACTGCTCCTGCTCTGTCTGCAGTCAGCCGCGGTCGATCAGACACAGCCATTTCCGACGCCTGCTACGGCAATGGCTTCCCTCGCCGACCTCCTCCTTCCACAAGGCGCTGCCACAACCCTGCCCCCGAGCCTGGCAGAGTGCCTGGACACCCTGGCCCGCGCGGCGGCGGCCCTGCAGCTCGCCGACACCCGGCCCGCCTCGCTGGCGGCCGCCGCCCGCCAGGCCGCCGCCGCCGCCCAAGAGGCGCAGGACCGAGAGGTGTGTTGCAGGCGCGGGAGAGGGAGGGCAGCAGCAGGATGCAGCCGCGCCTGACTGCCTGCCTGCGTCTGTCAGTTAGCCACCCAGTACAGAGCCGTAATGAGGGACCCAGCGGCTCGCTCTGATACCACTTCAGCCCTGCCCTCGCCTTGGGTCAAAGCAAAGGCAGTCGGGGGCGTCGCAGCGTGCCGCCGCCGCCGCCGCGCTGCCCCCCCGGGGCACGGCGGCGGCGGCAGCAAGCTTGGGCCCAAACGCCGTGCCGCCGAGTCCCGTGGCTGCGACCGTAGACCGTGGGCCGGAAACTGCGGCCGCAGCTCGGCGGCACGTGGTTCTGTTCAAATCGCCAAGCGTGCAGCAGCGCCGAACCACGCTTCCCGGCCTCGGCGCATGCCTTCAGGGGCCCCCTATCGCTGGGCACACCCCTCCAACACCGAACATGCGCCCGGGGGGGAGGGCGGCCCGGGCTGCCCAGGCCAAAGTGGGCCGCCCTCGAGCAAGAGGCGGCCAGTCTGTGTGCTGAATGAATGAATGAAATGGTGATGGTGATGGTACCAGCAGTACCCCTGCGTACCCGCAGGGGAGCTGCTGATGTAAGATAATCAAGTACAGGGGATGGCACATCAGGTCGTGGTTGGGGGTGTGGAGCAAGGGTCAAAGTGGGTGGGGCGCATGTGCGAAGCTGCCACTCATGCATGGAGAAGGCAACCGCAGCATCAGCAAACTGGCTGACCCTCACATTGCTGTAGTGGCCCACAGTTTCTTCACACGTTTGGTATAAGGGGCGGAAAAACTGATCATCATGCGGTAGTGCCTTCTTCAGGCCATGCTGCTGGCCGTGCTCCAGCTGCAGCCACACACAGAAGTGTGTGTCAGCCAGTAGTGCATCAGGCTGTCTGTCTGTCTGTTACACCCATAAGGAGCAAATGAATGCTACTGAAGGTGGGCGGCTCTGAGGAATTTACAGAGTCAAGAGTCAGAGCCAGCTTGCTACCCCTGACCAGGCAAGCAATCACGCCCCAGCTGCAGCGCTGCTGCTGGGCTAGCCCGCCTCACAGCCAGCTGCGCAAAGGCAGCATTGGGCGGCGACAGCCTCGAGTGCTTGATGTCGGCCCAGAAATGGTGCTTCACCTTGTTCACAGCGCGACCATGCGCAGTTGGGGCGTTCGGCCTGCTGTTATTCTTGCGCTTGCAGCTTGGGCTGGTCTACAGCAGCAGTAGGGGCAGTAGGGTTGATGGCTGTGGGGCGCAGGCGCATTGGCAGCTGGCAAAACGGCATCAGGGCAGGGCGGGGCAGGGCGGGGCATGGCCCATGGGCGCAGCGAGGGATGAAGGCAGACCGGCGGGGGGAAAGGAAGGGGATGGCGAGATTAGTAGGGCGCCCGTGGGGCAGTGGCAGGGCTCTT